AGTTGATACTTGCATGGATTAGTTAATGTAAGTTTGTATAAGTCATTAACCAATCCATGGAAAATACAATATTTGGATATAAATAATGGTTTCGTCACACCTCCTTCATAAACAGGCATATTGTTCTCGAGATAGTTAATCTTTCCATCATATAAACAAAGAATTATGATTTGATCGTTCAGTGTTATCTCTAAAGAGTAAAAAAATTCAATATTAATATTACACGAAAAATTGAAAAAATATTATTTACAATTAAATTCCCTAATATCGATTTTACACATCCATAATTTTTATGATTTCCTAATTTAAATAATTTAAACAATATTCACTTTTAAAAATTAAAAAATAATGCACTAGTTTTTGCAATTTTCCTTAATATTCCCTATAACTTCATATACAGATTTATTTTTTTCACAAAATTCATAATTATTTCAAAATCTAAACTCAAACAAGTTATTATGATAAAATGGTGAGAATATGTAAAATTTTAGGAAAAAACAAAAAAGTTTAAAGATTTTACCAAAAATTTGTTGATATCCTAAATGTAAAATCCAACGAGCTCTAGCGAACTCCAGCACTTTTAAGCCATGAAAAAGGTCGGTGGAGGCGGTGGCAGATGCGACAGTGACGGAGATAGTCGGCAACAGTGGTGGCAGCGACGGGAGATGATCTAGGGTTTAGGGTAAATGAGCATAGAGAGAGTGGAGGGAGAGTTGGGGGGAGCGAGGGTGGGAGGGGGAGAGAGAGAGAATGGGAAATGAGATCACGTGGAGGGGGGAGATATAATGTAGTAGGTCAATGGGGCCTACGCAGGCCAAACTTCACGTGATTTTAACTTTCGTGAAGTTTGGTGACTTTTTCATTAGCTTGGCTAGTGAATCACTAAACTTCACGGGATTTAAAATTTCATGAAGTTTTCGAACTTTACTTGTCATTTTCAACCCAGTTTTAGCTAGGTGGTTAAAACTGGGTCGAAAATGACAAATAAATTTTAAATAAATTGTTATTTAAAATAAATTCCTAATAGAGTCTATTTTAAAAATTTGTCCTTACTTTTAACATGAACTCAACTACTACTTCCCAACGTTACTCCACTTCCTCGAAGAACTGATCTTTCGTGAGCTCCACTTACTTAATCTCAATTAATTAACCCACTCTTATTATTTTATTACACCTCTGACCCCCTCACTTATTCTAATCCGCTTCCAGCCT